TGTGCTGTTTCCCAGAATGGTGAAGGAATGCAATGGGAATGCTGGCAAGATGTCACCACCTGATTTTTCCTAACCAGCAGGTGTTCAGTAGCTTTGTCTTTGAGCTGAGGAAACTCGTAGGAATGAAGTGCAATAACAGGGATAAAGCATTTCTCTTTATTATGGTCAGTTACTGCTAATCTCCTCTTAGAGCTGAAACAGGGATTTATAGGGATTCATTTGTGGTTTAGGTCTGGAGATAATTAAATACCTTTCTGCTGCAGAGAAGAAATGGAGAAAGAATTGGCTGAAAGCTAAAACAAGATTCCTGCACTATCGCATATATTAAACCTCCTTTTATTTGGTTGTCACCCCAATAGGAGTGATTAGTGAGTTGTGAAGAAAGAAAATGTATTGCATTACATCTATTAAAGCATGTTTTATATGTAACAGTAATTAAAATATAATTGAAATCATGAGTTCTTCTAATTATTGGCTTTACATAATGCATAGTTAAAGGGTGAGCATCCATAAATGTGTCCTTTTTGCACATCCAGAAATGGTTTGCTGGCAGCATTTTAATTAAAGATGGATTAGTTAAAATGCAGTTTAATCATTCTGTCATCAAAGGATTTAGACCTCATTAATTAGCAGTTGATAAATAGGTTTAAACTCCAAAAAATTTAATTTAAAACATGCCAGTTGCGATCTAGAATTATTACAGCTGGAAGTGGAGCGATGAGTCTCTGCAAAATTCGTGCCATAATATGAGATTCAATATGAAATGTGGACCAGTGCAGAACTCAGTTCTGCCTTGTTAGTCTGGATGTGACTCCAAGTGTTCGTTAGAGGTGGTGAAGAATTAACGCAGAGACTTAATGATCATTGCTGTGCACTGTGGCAGTGACATCCGTTTCCCATCCATGTCTGGAGAAGATCCAACACAATTTTTAAAGCCCTTCTGCTTTAGGTGGGTGAAAACAAGTGTGGATTTGGGGTTCCAGCTCCTCGGTGCTGCAGAGCAGGGGGAGCCCCTGGTGCTGTGTCTGCACCTTGAGCAGCCTCTGGCAGGGCCAGGCTGGCAGGGGCAGATGGTGTTAGCGCAGCGTAGGAGGGTAAGTTCCCACCTTAAAGCACGTGCCCTGTGACCGTGTGCTCCTGGGGCCAGTGCTGACCCCCCAGCTGGACAGCAGCCCAGGGTGGCTTTTCTTTGTGTGGCAGCAGCCCCGAGCTGCACACAGGGCCAGTTCCTCTGTTGGCTGCTCGAAGCAGTTCAGTTCCAGTGCTCACAATGGGCTAATGGTAGCCAGATCCCGGTGATGACAACCTCTTGTACTGGTTAGGCTTTTTCCCTGTTACTTGCTGATGGTTCTTTGACTTGCTGGGGCTGCGATGCAGTCCCTGGGGTGAACCTCATTTGTGTGCCTCTGGCAGCCTGGGCAGACCCTGCAGCCCTGGGAGGGACACACTCCTGCTGCCCCTGAGCTTCGTGCGCGGACGCAGCAAGGCAGACTTTGACTGGCAAGTCTGGCAGAATTGGCATCAAACCGTGCAGGTTTCTGTTATGAATATCTGAATCAGCTTAATTGCTGTGAAGCACTCCTGTATTTCAGTAGGATTGATAGTGAGGATTGCTGTAGCTCAGTAGTCATAATATTTGAGTCCACAAGTCAGCTGGGTTTTATGCTGCGGAATCAAACAGTTCTGACAAAGATAGGTGACATTTCTGAGTGGAGTTAAAATGGTTTCAAGAAAATAGCAATTTAACAGTCATATTTGAAGACTTTCTTAAAGGCTTCTGGAATGTTAATTGAAAGATTGACTTGCTGAAAGTCTGTGTCTACAGAGCACTCTGGTAACTGTCCTGCTGTCCTGCCAAGCTGCTGGAAAAGCAGCAGCTGAGTGTGAGGTTGTAGGCTTCATAATCCTTGTTTGCATTTCAACATGGGTAATGAAATGGCTTAGCTAAACTTCTGTGAAAGTGAACAATTTGATGAAGTTTCGGAGTGAGGTGGAGAAGTTACACCACGACAGCACTGGATGAAAGACAAATCAAGTGAGAGTGGTTATATGCCCTTCTGTAAAACAGCATCTGAAATTCTTGCCCTTTCCTCAAACAGACCTGTAAGGAGAAACACATCAGTGTGTCTGGGAGAGAGAAGGGGAGGTCATTCCACAGCCATTCATGAACTGCTGCACAGTCATGTTCTCTGGCCCCAAAATTGTTCACAAATTCCAGATTTGCAAAATAATGGAGGAAAATTTTCCTCATGTGGAATAGTTAACTGTGGCAATAGAAGGAAGAGTCATGAAATTAAAAAGCGAAATGTCTATGTGTGTCAGGAAAATGCAATTCAGGATTCTCCAAATTCCCCAACCCATGTAGCTTAGCCAGAAAGGTGAAGTATCAGCTAATGCTGTATAATCTCTTCAGTTATTCTTTACGTAAGACAGGTAATTTATAATTCCCAATTATGCAATTAAAATGCTAATTACCTCTCACCTAAACTGTGTTCTTGAGCTGAGATGATCAGTTACCTTCAGTCATTGCAAACCACATGTGACAGTGGCAGTGCTGAGTTTTGTGTTGCCTGGGGATTTTTCTGTTCACGTGCCTCTGGTTTGCAGGGAGCAGTAATGGCCTTGCCTCGGTGGGCTGTGTTTCCTCCAGGAATGTGTTCCTTCCGACGTGTGCTGTTCTGTGTCCTACAGTGGCTCTGTGCTTTGGGTGGTGTTGCCCTCTGCTCCTGCCCTGAGCTCTGGCTCCTCACCCGCTCTGGTGCAGGAGGGTGATGGGTTAGGGATCCCAGCATGAAGTGTTTGTTTCAAGGGTGAGACCTCTTACTTCTGTGCTGCTTCTGGGCAGCTCTTCCTTCCTTCATCAGCTGTCTGTGCTGTGTTTGCACTGCTGTGCTGCCAGTTTCCCGTTTCATACCTGCTTACCAGAGGGACAGTTCTGCCCTCCCTGCT